AATTAACATACGAAGTCAGACAAAAACATACATACCTTGTAAATCATGGTAACACTTGCATCTGCCAACTCAAGGGAAGATTTCCTAGCAAGTTGAGCCTCAGAGTCAGGAACTGCGAAGGCATCATCAATATACTTTGACAACTTTAGCTCTTCCTTGGCATAATGCGAAGTTTGTCCAAGCCAATCCCAACAAATTTAAAAGTGTCTAAATTCACACCTTGAGCTTGGCATTACTCCATGCACCTTTTGTACGTCTCAGGGTCAACTCCGCCAGGAATTGTTTCTAAGGCTTCGGCAGGAGTAGCAGGCTCCTGAGCCACATCCTTCATCTTTCCAATGTCAACAGTAGTCTCCTTCTGAGATAAAGGATCGAGAAAAAATTCCTCTACATGATTTTTTTAATTTAAAATAAGAACAAAAACTTAAAACACAAGTCAAACAATACACAAATAAAAAAGAACAAACTTACCCATAGAAACACCCTTCTCAAGATGACATGCAACTTTTTCACCAGTATTCACATCAATTGTGGACTCAGTAAGACGAGAAGCCCGGGCGTGCTCAGCCTCTTCGTCAAATACATCATTGTCAGAATCATCAAAATCAAGGGTCACAGTAGTAGTACCCTTACCCTTGTGAGCCTTAACTTTTGGAGCATCAATCTCCACAGGCCCACCTCCCAAATCAGAATCTTGAACCACAACTCAAGGAGGAGAGGCAACAAGAAGAGTAGCACCAACATCTGTTGCAGTTCCTTGAGGAGTTACAACAACAAATCTTTGAGAAGATGGCCCAGCGATCTCCTGTGAAGCCATAGTTTCAATCTCACCTTCTTCCATTTGCACATTAACATAGCAGTTGCGTCAGCAACACCACCAGTATCAAGAACAGGAGAAGAATCCAGAATAGCTAGGGAAGAAGGCAAAGTGTCTTCGCCAACATTTTTCGGAGGCGAAGACAAACTAGCCTCAGCAACATCTTCACCCGAATGCAAAGTGGCCCCCAAATTCTAGAAATAGTCACCAAGCGGAGTCAACGTTAGTGGAGTCAAACCACTAGAATTAAAAACTAAACTAATCATTCTCACCTCATCATCACGAGCCTATTGACTAAGAATCTCTTTACTGTCAACATCAAGACCCAAATCAACTTCATCTTCTACAACCTTCTCTGAATCAAAAGAAGTTGAAACCTTCTTTTTTGTCTACGAGCTCTTTTATTCTTTGTAACATTCTCTATGCTCGGCTTCGCTGCACGAGTATATGTTGGTGGAGGTATTTCATCAAATTTGATTTGGACAATTTTAAATATTCTATTCAAACGCTTATAATCTTTTTCAAGAATTTTGTCCATCAAATCTTTCTCTTTCTTTAAAAATTTGCCCAGAATCTCAACTGCTTTAACTTCAACAGCGGAAACAAAATCCTCATCTCTTGTGTACTTCTTCAGGAAAAAAGCTTCTTTATCAGGATAAATATAATCTTTACCCCTCACAATTTTCTTATGAAAACGAAGAAAACTCCAACCCTTCTTGAGAGGCTAAACTCGAGCTGCAATATATTCTTCGCAAAGATTCCGTCTCACAAATCTTTGAATTCTTTGTACTCGAAAATTTAGGCTTGCAATCAAAAACATTCTTCCCCATCTTCACAGCCAATGGATATGCTTCACAATCTTCCTTGATTCATCCCTTTCTTCAACCATTGGAACTGCATGGTAAAACCAGTAACTATACCAATTTTCAACCCACTTATTCTTGGAAGCCGGAGAAATTTGTTTAGCACCTCGAGCAGGTTTCAAACTTTAATAACAGTCTTCCCATCCATAGTCTTATTCCTAAACTGAGTATGCATCTCATGAAGAGCACAAAAAGCCCTGATGTCCAAGTTTACATCTTGAGACTTCACTGCCTAAATAAAAAGAGCAATCTTCGCTATTCCATTAGAAGTCAGATGATGCATTTCTATATTATATGCCTTCAGAAGTTCTTCAAGAAAGTCTTAACATGGCATACGAAGTCCAACTGCAAATTGATCCCGAAAAGCCACACATTCATAAGGTTTCGGATGAGGAACTACTTCACTTCTAGGCAAACGAACAGATGCCCTCTCCACCATACGATTTGCACCATCCAATCTAACTCTTTTTCATCCATCAAAGTCTTGCCAAACTTCAAAGACTTCATATCATCACCAACCAACTCAGACTCATGCAAAAACATCTGATAAATCTTCACCCAAGTCAGATTGATTAGATCCAACTAGAGAGTTTGCAGAAACATTCTTCTCTTGATCAGACATCTAGAAATAAGAAACTTATCATCAAAATAAATATTAATAACAACAACAACAAAAGAAAGAAAGAAAATAGAAACAAACAAATTTAAAACTAACCTTTAGTCAACAAAAACTTTTACCCCTAGAAAGAAAATAGTCTTCGAAAAAGAGTTTGGCTCCGCTAAATTTTTTGACTTCGCGTCAAAGAAAAATTCAGCAACACCTCCCCGTCTTCGATAAAGTAGCAAAAACAGAGGGAGGGACCAAAGTATATATAGGTGGCTTTGGGTCAAACCTGATGATTTAGCTTCCAACGGTCAAATACGACCGTTGCAATTCATAAAAAACATCTGTTCATAGTATAACGGCTACAAACGGCCAACTCCAAAGTTCGAAACGGTGTTTTTTGTCTTCGTTTTAAATCCAAATTTCATGGAATTCAGACCTTTGGAGTAGGCCTTCGCCCGTGAGGGGCTACTGTTGGAGATTTAACTTCGTCGAGAAAACTCAACCCCTAAAACTTTAGAGTTAAAATTCTGATTTCTATAACAAAATTTACTTGTAGGAAAAAGAAGTGAAGCGAAGGTGGAAATTTGACTTCGTAAGAAAGATTCCATCTTCGCTGGAAAGATCTCATCTTCGCTCGTGAAAAGAAGAAAGCAAGATTAGGCGAAGACAAGAGTTTGACTTCGCCTAACATTTTGAGAGAAAAAGAAAATCAAAGCAGAAATCGATTAAGTCCGGAAGACGAAGATATTGACGAAGTTGATATACAAAAGTTGAAGAATGAAGACTTAAAAGGGAAAAAGACCATTTCGCCATTGTAGTTGAGAAGGGTTGTAACTATTTGAGTTGGGGTAAAATAGTCATTTTATGTAAAGTATGAAGACTAGGAACCCTATAAATACCTCATCGACATGTACAAGACGTCCATGAAATGAATACAACTTTGTCTCGTGTTCAAACTTTGATGCTTGTGTAATTTCTTACCCAACATTTACTAAATTTGTTTTTGGATTTTAGAAAGACGAAAGCGCCTTGAAAGTTGAAATCCACTTCTAAGTTTCAACGAATGATGGAGGAATGGTTTTGAGAGTTGAGAGAGAAATTATCCACTTTTGGAGTTTGAGAAGAAAACCTAGACTCCAGAGATAGTTTAATAGGTAAATAGACTTTTCAAATATATAGTGTATATATATAAGCATTTGTAAAAAAAAAATATTAGTAAGGTTATCCTTGGTTCCCCACCGTGCTCGGCGTAGATGGGTAGATGCGATTAAGCTACTTGATTAGGCGCTTGCATGTGCAAAAGCCGAGCATAGAGGACAGTAGTTAGTACAATGTAGCCCTTTGAAAGTAAAACGCCGTTAAATCTTAAAATATTCGTTCTCATGGAGAGTCGAACCTAGGACCCATCGAGACTTGTAACCACTAGTGTGCGAGACCCTTTCATGAAAGCGTAGTATTTGCTTGCTGCTACTTTGTTAGAGCTTAAATACGGCTCAACACGGTGGGGATAGATAAAAGAACCAAACAAGGTCTAATTTCTTCACTTTTGAAAATGATGAGGCGAAACCAAAATGGTTCTATTTATATGGAATTCACAAAAACAAATTGTTCTTTACGTTGTCAGAGAAACAACGTACTCTCTCCATCCCAAATTATAAAACGTTTTGTCTTTTCTATATTCATAGCTTTTGCTATGTACTTAGATATACACTAGATATATAGTAAAAAACATTATATAAAAAAACCAAACATCTTATAATTTGGAAGAGATGGAGTATTATGATATTTATATATAAGAACCAAGATTCATGAGTGGTATGGGCCTTTTCGGTTTGTGCCCCCAAGAAAGCCAAAATTTGGCTAAATGTTGGTCAAGTATGAGTTTTTTTTTTGAAACCATGCTAATGTAGAGATTATACCAAAGTCATATTATTTTATGACTATGACATGTGATCCATACATGATATTGCCAGCAAAGTTGCGTATCGAACTATAACAAATATGCATATTGATTTTGCAGAATAGATAAATCTTAAGAAACACGATAGTCCGAACGGATTATAGAAATATAAACTATAAATTAAGATTACAAAGATAAGGTCATTTGAAGCCTCGGTATCAACACACCATCTTATTTGGCTTGACCCACCAGTTGCTGACGCCGGACGGTCCTTTTGGGATTTGTGAAGGAGGAGAATTTTATGCCAAATTTCTCGTGGGCCAGCCAAATTTCGGCCTTAAACCACGAACGAGCACAGCCCGATATCTTAGATGGCCGAATGCCCGAAAGCCCATTCGCTCGGTTCCAAAATGAAAATGGCATGAACCAGCCGCCGCCTCACTCTTCTTCTCTCCTCATTTCGAACTTTCGAAGCGGGGAATATGGGGAGCCGAAAACTGAGCACGCATCCCTTGAAGATCTAACAAGAAATTCCTTCCTGTAAGTTCGATCCATTCCTTCCCCTGGGCTGATCTCCTGTTTCTTTATGTCATGCAATTTTCTTCTGTATATTTCTTTCCCGCAAACTTTCGATACGGTCGGCTGAAAGTAATCTGGCAAGAATTCCAATCTGCACCCGATCAATCTTCCCGTAGTTTAACGCTCTCCTTCATTAATCGTGTTTTTTTCTTGCAGGAATGCTGTCGGAAAAGCTCTGATCTCTGCGCCGGTGTTCCAGGCCATCGTGGCCTTGCAGGCTACCTGCTCGACGTAATGCCGCCGAAGACCACGAAGCGCTGGGTGCCGGTCAACCGGAACGCCGGAACGTCCCGCGGGCGCGACGAAGGCGGCCCCGACGCCGACCGCCTCAGCGCGCTCCTGGTCGCGCCCCTGTACCAGCGCTTGGTGGTGCCCGCGACGAGCACCACGCGGTCCCAGCGCTGGGTGCCCGCGACAAGCACCATGTGGTGGGTGCCGGTCAACCGAGCTGGGGGAGCGTCAGGGTCACGTGGGCGCGAGGGAGGCGACCCTGATGCCGGCCGCCTCAGCGTGCTCCCGGACGCGCTGCTGCACCACATCATGTCCTTCCTCAAGGCGTGGGAGGTGGTGCGGACCTGCATGCTGTCGTGGCGGTGGCGCCACCTCTGGGCATCCGTGCCCTGCGTCGATCTCCACGTCGGCCAGGATGACTACGACGAGGTACCAGAGGACTTTCCTGACTTTGTGCGCCTCCTGTTCCGTCACCGTGATGCGACGGTGGCCCTGGACACGCTCCGTCTGCGGTCGAGCAATGTTGATGGTGCACATAATGAAGATGATGCCAGGTTGTGGATCAGTACTGCGATCAATCGTGGTGCTCGAGTAATTCATCTTGTAGGGCATCGCAAGGGGGCTTGGCTTTGTGGCGGCCGCCTTGCGACGCTTGAGCAGTCATCTTTCGTCTCGTGCCACCTCAAGATCTTGAAGCTATCCTATGCCCTGCTGGATGACAGCATCCTCAGGCAGCTTTCATGTCATTGTCCGTCTTTGGACTCAAGATTTTGACCATGTTCAAGTGCCAGATCAATGCCAACCTATTGAGTAATATGCATCGTGGGTCCTTGAACTTGTCTTGGGGTGCCACTTAGGTCCACAAATTCTCTAATCGTACTTTTGGCACCCTAATGTTGTTTAAGTATGCCACTTAGGTCCATAACTCATCGGAACAAGGTTTTGACCGACGTGGTGTGGACAGCGTGGCGCAAGCACAAGCTACATGCACGAGCAGCCGCACAGGAACATGCACGAGCCGCCGCCGCGCAGGCGAGCTCCAGTACCTCAACCTCATGAACAATTGCCTCTCCGGCCGCGTCCCGCGCACGCTCGCCGCGCTCTCCCGCGTGTGCACGATCGACCTGTCCGGCCACATGCTCTCTGGCGCGCTGCCCGTCGAGCTCGGCCGCTTGCCGGAGCTTACTTTATTGGTGCTATCCGACAACCAACTCACCGGGCAGTTCACCTCACCTCCCGGGCCCGGCGGCGCGACCGCCATCGGTATAAAGCATGATGGTGAGGAGCACAATCAACAGCGTGACCGCCGCCGCAGACACCAACGCGATGGTCGCGCGTGCAATGCCGAATGTCTATTTCTGCTGCTGAACGCGCGGCTGCGGCCACCGGCCGAACTCGGTGCTTGACTTCCCTTCCGGTGGTTCTTGGGCCAGTCCGGTGCACCAAGCTACTCATTCCAATGAGCTGCGATGGAACGGCGCCGACCGAGCATTGTGGGACAGTTCAGTCTTCAAGCTTGGAGAGTGAACCGAGTGACGCAGGATGTGGCCACCGAGATTATTTTGCTCAAGTCTAGCGAGCTCTGCAGCTCTTGGAGCTTTGCCGATATCGGGAGGATCGGGCGGACGAGTAATCTGTGATGATTCGACTCATAGAGATCGCTCAATTTTGCAACCGCCGTCGAAATCGGACGAGAGGCTGGTTGTGTGCGAGGTTCAAGACGTTGAGGGACACCAACTGCAGAGTTCAGCGACCTTTGTTCCATTGATCTGGTTGTTGTCGAGCGGCAACCAGGAGCTTGGAGCGATTCTTTGAGCTGCACCGGATTGCTCGGCGAACTTCGTTGTTGGAGAGTGCCATTTCGTCGAGCTACTGACAATGAGCCCGGCCGATCCGGAACCGCCGACAGCAGCGGTTGTGGCCGAGGACGATGAATTTGAGCTGCGTGCATCAGGCAAGCGTCGTGGGGATGCCGCCGGTGAGCGCGTTGTTTGACACGCCCAGCGGCGTCGGCCAGCGGCGATGCCGCCGAAGCGATGGCGGGATGGGCCCGGAGAGCATGTTGCTCCTCAGCGCCTGTATTTGGGAGCGACGACGACCTGCCGAAGCTGTCGCGGGGATCCCGCCGTCGAAGGAGTTGTTGGTCGCGTCGAACGACGGCGACCTCGCCTGCGCCGTCTGCATGAGCGGTAGGAGGTCGCCATCGAGCGGCCAGCGCGATGTTGACCCTCGTGATGTTCCGCACACTCGAACATGCCGTCCGGGATGGCGCCCGGAGAGCGAGTTGTTGTACAGCATGAACAGCTCGTTCATGCGAAGTCGAGGAAGATCGGCCGACAGTTCCCCATGGACCGGTATGCTCTCGTTGAACCGGTTCCCAAAGAAATCGATCGGTACGCAAGCTCGCGCGATCCCGATGGACTCCGGTATCTCGCGGCGAACTGGTTCTCGTCTGGTACAGCACCTCCAGTTCACGAGGCGGCCGATGGCGTCCGACGACCGACCGGCCGAGCTCGTTGTGATACAATGCCGGTGTTTGAGCTCGGTGAGATTGAAAGCTCTCATGGCGGCTCGCCGGAGAGGTTGTTGTTCACCAGTCGAAGCTGCGTCGGCGCCCGACACCGCGAGAACCCCTCCGGTATCTCCCGGTGAAGTTGTTCGTAGAGAGCATAAGGTGCTCGAGGCTACTAGACTCCGCTTCATCGCTGGCGCACAGTCGCCGGGGACGCTGCCGGTGAGTTGGTTGTCGGATAGCACTAAAGTAAGCTCCGGCGAGCGGCCGAGCTCGTGAGCGGTAGCGCCGAGAGAGCATGTTGCGGACAGTCGATCGTGCGCACGAGGAGAGCGCGGCAAGCGTGTGCGGGACGCGGCGGAGAGGCAATTGTTCATGAGGTTGGTATCTTTGGAGCTACGCTGCGCTGCGGCGGCGGCTCGTGCATGTTCTGTCTGTTTGCTTTCGTGCATGCGACTTTGCGTTTGCGCCACGCTGTCTCACGCCACGTTAGTCAAAACCTTGTTCCGATGAGTTATGGACCTAAGAGGCATACTTAAACAACATTAGGGTGCCAAAAGTACGATTAGAGAGTTTGTGGACCTAAGCAGTGTTAAAAAAGGCGACGCCTTAGGCGCGCCTAGGCGTGACTAGTCGCTAGTCGATGGGTTCCCGCCTGGCCTATGGGGGTAGGCGGACATCCAGGCGCAAGGAGGTAGGTCGCCGATGGGGGAGGTCGCAGCGGGGAGGTCGCCGGGGGGGAGGAGCCGAGAGCGGCGGGCGATGGGCGCGCAAGTGGCGTGGCGTGGTGGTGGCGGCGGGGGGTCCTACTGGCCTAGGGGTAGGCGGACCTTAGGCGGCGCGCCACTCGTCGGGCGGCAGGCTGGTGGGGGAGGAGGAGCTCTCAGCGGAGGTCGTCGGTAGAGGAGGAGGAGCTGCTGAGCGGGGAAGGAGGCAGCGTCTTGCTTGCGGGGTGGGCACGCACTTGAGGAGAGAGAGATGCTTGGAGAGGAGAGGAATCGAGGCGGCGGGTGATGCGGGCTACCGAACAGAGGAAGAAAGGCGTCGAAGCGAAGGATGCGGAAGACCGAGCAGAAGGATAAGGTTGGAGACTGGAGTGGGAGATGGGCTGGACTGTTGCCATTTGGGCCTTTCTATCTCTCTAAGCCAGCCTTTCAATCTATCTAAACCCACTATTTCAGCTGTTTATTTTTCTTTTAGAAGATAATATATGTATATTAGTATATATACAAAGCGCCCTAAAAAGCGCGCTTAAAACGCCTAGGCTCGCTTAAGCTCGCCTAGGCTCTAGGTTATGGGTCATCGCCTAGAAGTCGCCTAGCGCCTAGCTGAACTTTGGACCTAAGTGGCATCCCAAGACAAGTTCAAGGGCCCACGATGCATATTACTCCAACCTATTTATTGCTGCCCTGAACCTTGTACTGCGGCGCTGCATCTCACCAATAACCCAAGCTCCATCATTTCAGAACATGGGGTCTCTTGTTGCAGGCACTATCATACTTGTTGATTATGCCTTCAGTGACGATTTTGAAGACTTCAGCAAGGATGAACTTGATGAAACCACTGATGAAGATGATGACAATCAGAAGTAGAAGACTGGATATGGATTTGGTGCCCCTCTAGACAGATATGGGCTTGGTTACAAGGACGATTATGATTATGGTAGTGACATTGATAGTGATGACAACACCTATGAATATTGTGACATTGCAAATGACTCTGGTGAGTATAGTTTCGATGGTGATGGTCACAGTTCCAGTACAGATGGTAATCATCATGTGCTTGGTGAAAACTCTGGATGCAACGAGAACAAAATTAAAGGTGGCTATAATATTCTTCAGATCTTCTCAAATGCTACAAATTTGGAGCTGTTAGCTGATGCTGGAGAGGTACAGCTTTCACTATCTTTTTCTGAAGTTCATGTCTGACCTTTAGTATGTACTTGTTCCTTAATATATAGTCAAAATTGTTTTCACAGAACAGTATCTTCTCATTTTTGTCAATGGAACACTATTCAAGTTTCACCAGATCACAGGGTGTCCTATCCACATTTTACCCTTTATTTAGCAGTGTGACGCTGTGTATAGATAAACAGAATAATCCATTTTCTATCAATTGTAGTAGCTCATTCGATTGCCTAGCAAAAATTTGTTTCACCAAGACAGCAATATTGATTATTGTTATCAGTACAAGTCTGCAATGATGTTCCTCCGCAAATAATTGTGGTTATGTATCCGCACGGAACTAGTTCTAAGAAATCTTGTGTCTTGACATTAGCCCATGGACAATTTTTCCATTTAAAAATTAATATGCATCCCATTTAGCAAAGCTGCAAAGCTAATATTTCCTTGGCAATATTTTTTTTAACACAATGGCAGGAGCTTTGCCTTTCAATTAAGAAGAGAGCAAATAGAGCTAATTACAGGAGTGTTAAAAGGGCACATGACAGGCTCCCAGCCTGCCAGAGCAAAGGAGCACAGTGAGCCCAAGAGCCAAACTATGCCGAAAAGACAATGCCTCTATGTTATTTACTTTTCTTCTCTCTGTATTGACCAATTTAGTTGCATGCACGATATGAGGGTTTGATTAAGCTTAATGTTGTTGTCTACTGAAACATTACATTTTTGCTATGATATGAAGGTGATTCTGACTAGAGACTGAAAAGGTGCCCAAGTTTTAGCAACCTGAAGACCTTGTCCCTTGGCGAATGGTGTATTGATGCTGACTTTGATGCATTAGTTTTCCTGCTGCAGCATTCACCTAATCTGGAGAAGCTTTTTCTTGAACTCAAATTGGTAGGAGTTTTTGCATATCTTGTGTGTTATATCCTGAGCTTTGTGTATCTGGGCACATGTTTAATAACACTCATGTTGTTCTGCAAAAAGAACTTAAACGCCAGGAAGCCACTGGTAAGCGGTGTCAAACCAAAGGGAAGATCATTTGCTTGCAAGCATCTTGAAAGGTGAAAGATCAAATGCTCTAAGGATGACGTGAGAGTCCATAAGCTGGCACACTTGTTCAGGGCTAATGGTGTACCAGATGAGAACATTTTCGTCCGTAGGACAGGGAGCACCAGTGAGTCATACCTTCTCTTCATCATGTACCTAATTTTGTATTTATTTACACTGCTCGTGTTGTGTTAGTATTATGAAACCTCTCAATGAAACTCTATTACTGTTGTTAATTAGATGTGTGGTCACTGACACCTATTTTTGTATTTATTTACACTGCCCATGTTGTGTCACTATGCAAGAAACCTCTTCGTTAACTTCTAAATACTGTTGTTAATTAGATGTGGTCACTTGATGTTACTCCAGGCTTGTCATTTATTAAATGACAATTAAGCAATTCTATTAACTTGAAATCTGTTCTGTTGTGCTTGCTTTTTATCTATACATTCATCCACTGTTTGATTTTGTACCAGATGTCCGTGGCGAGAAGATTATGAGAGATCTTGCTAGGCACGAGCTGGAGTTCTGGGGGGTTTAATATCCAGTTATCTGTTATCCACTTATGGTTCTTGTTAGATGTTTGCATTTTCGCCTATTTTGTAAGCAAAGACCTTGCATGCAAGGCAGCATGGCCCCATGGATTTTTAGTACTGATCATGTGCATGCCACGAACAGTGACGCAGTTTCTGGTGCCCCAGGCACCAGCCCCTTTTGGCTAAAATGGAAGTTGGAACTTAAGTATGGTTATCTAAATGCTGTGATGTTCTCTCGTCTAGTGAATGGATTATCTACGCATAGTATCTCTAGATAACTTTGCTTTTAGATCGTTAACTACTAATAAAACTGCTATTTTGTATTTAAGATCATGGCCTGCGTTGTGCTATGTTCGGTCTTTTTGAATGCTGTGCTTGTCTTGACAATCAGCTATGTTGTCAGAGAAATTTCAAGCTCATTTCTAACTGTAAGTATGATATATGCAAACTTTCTTGCCTTGCAAATGGTGATATAAGATTTACCTATGCAGCTACGGTCTAGTTTTCATGACAATGGGTCAATGGATAGGTAGCAGATGTATAGTCATAGGAATCCGAATTTAGCTGTGAACTGTGGTGCCTTCACACAGTTGTCTATACTGTATTATCATGCTATATACATGTGCTTGGATCCGTTCGATGCGTTCTTTTCTGCACAGCTGACTTTAGGTGCAATTAGTTTTAAATCCTTGTATAAGCAAGAAGCAAATGTGACCATATGGAACTGACTAAACATACAAGTACAAAACCATTTTGATTTCCTATCCGTCAAACAAAATTGCATTTTAGAAAAAAAAATCAAGTTAAAAACTTGAGGCTTTATGAGCTGTCAGAACAAACTCTCCAAACAAATTAAGCGACGGACCTTATTACATTCTTCAAAGATATATACGGCACATCTCATCCCAAAACTGGTCCGTCTAAATACAGCAAAACCAATCATTGGATTTTGAAGTTTTTGTATATATTTCAGCCATTCACATAATCATCACATAGTACACATTCACTACATCCATGTACTGCGCAATTGACTTAAAAGACTAATATCGTTCATATGTTCCACGCTGAATAATGCAACAAAACAAGTTATTACAAACCATTGCCAGTTAGACTTCCGTCATGCATTATACTGAGAAGGCAGCATGCAGATACGGTCGGAAGGGCTCTTCAGTTTTTATTGAACCAGTGAAAAGGCTGGAGGAGCTGTTTAAGCACAAATAAAAAAAAGGCTAATTAACCATAACATCAGATGTATATATAAAATATAACAAAAGGAAGACAAAATTCATAACCCACAAATTTTTGGTATGAGACAATTCAGTGTGCCTATAGGGATTGTAATATGGGTAATGGAGTGGTATGAGGCCAAGCATATCAAGGAAAATGACATGTGTGCAATTATTTCTTTTTTTTGAAGGTGTGTGCAATTATTTCTAGTAGATTAAACATGAAAAAGAGGAATTGCAAGAGACCAATTGAAACTTCATGCAACATTGAAAACGAAAGGAGTATTTTCAGATGAACTAATTGATTCAGGATTATCCAGATTCCTTCTTTTTCCAATTCAAACATCAGGTCTTTGTCTCTGTTTTCATGTTGAGAATTATTTTGCAGACAAAAGTGGGAAGATATCAAAGTGGCTTAGTACCAGTCTTTGGAGAACAAAATGTCCTAAAGGTCTAGTTAGCAACTGATCCACAAAGAGCAAGTAAGAAAGGAAAAAAACATCACAGATTATTGTTTCAAGAATGGGATGAGCTAGAATTCATGTGTCACATTATTCACACTGAGAAGCTTATACTATGTACTATGTAAATGAAGATTCGGACACAAGCCTGTTTATCTTTCTTTTTTAGAACTTCCGGTGTGCACAATTCCTCAATGTTTCCATGAGTAGCTAGACTTTCAATAAATTCGGTTAAGAATACAGTGTATCTGAGCTAACTCCCATGCACTTGGGTGTTGCATATCCAAGAAATGTGCAATTCCATGTCTTATGGTGGTGTATGTGTATGTACAACACATACTTCTATGGTGCTAACTAGTGGACAAAAATGAAAGAAGACATGAAGAAGATGGCAGGCTTACCTTGCTGTGCATTAAGCAGGCATGTTTATGTTTCCACCAACTTCGTCAGAAATTATTTCTGTTTACCAAGAATAGGAACATTATACTAGTTACAGGTCCTTTGTATGTGTCTACTGTAAATGAAAGAGATCAGAAATAAGTTAAGAGATGAGGAGTTGTGCTTGTACGTACCTGAAGATTTGATCCAATCCTGGGTACAGATGAGGGCCTCAACTAATTCAGGACTCAACTTCCGATTGAAAAGACTCGCCCGTTCATCAGCTTCATCAAATGCAGATTCAGCAGAGACCGAAGACCCAGGAATTGCTAAGATGTCGCGAGCCAGCCTGGCAAGAGCTGGATATGTCGAAGCATTTTCCTTCCACCATTTCAAAATATCGAAATTGGCATTTTGAGGAATAAGCTCTCCTTCAAGGTATCTAATGACTTCTCCCAGTTCCTCATGTGCTGCTTGCTCAATGTAATTTTGACTTGCGTCATGTACTGGTATGCTACCATGTGTATCCAACTGTAAATCGTTGGTTCTCTGATCAAAGCTCTCATCATTTTGTGGATCAACATGACAAGAGTGCTGAAGAAAGAGCTCATATAGCTTTCCTCGCACTTCAGAGATGTACCTTTTGGCATGACTACCAAAGGCTTCCTTAAAGCAAACAACAAGAAACCTTATTTTATATCTGGGATCGAGAACAACAGCTAACGACAGCCATAGGTACCATTTCCTCCAAAGCTGGTCAAACTTCAGCTTCATTTGTTCAATATTAAAAACTTGGTTGATGTTTTCCTTTGTAGATGAACGGAGCAGAGCCATCTTCAAGTTCCAAATTGCGTGAAATTGTGAATTCAAGGTCCCATTGCGAGTTCTTGAAACCACTTTTACTGCGTGGTAAATCGACCTTACAAGATCACAGAAGTTCTCTGCTGCCTTTAGCTGCGCAAAAGATGGTTTAGCTGGATAAGATCGAGAGTCTATAAGCTGAGGATTTGGCATCTCGTTGTTAAACTGCAAAGCAGCTTCCAATGAGTGGAAAGTTAAGTACCATCTCTTCGAACCAAAAGAAGGTCGGCTTATTTGCAGGCGTGACAGGATTTCTTTGTATTTATCCCTACGTAGTGGGGTGCATGTCATGTACTGAAACCACATCTGACTTGTACTTACGACATATTCCTTGATTTCATAACCAAAAAGGTCATTTAGGGCATCTATTATGCAGGGGAGATTTAACAACTTACATTTGGCAAGAAGATAGTTCTGTTCTGTAAGATCCTTCTCCAGAGCCGGTACAGCAGCATCACCTAATGACCTGGGTGATGAAATTCCTAGAAGCTTCCACTCAATCCTCCAATTTTGTACTACCTCTTTCACTATTTCTTCTTCAGCTGCTCTCACATTCCCATTAATGAAATTGTGGCATGATTGCAAATTGGGAACCATGCTAACAAAATACTCAGCATCAAAGTCTTCTTCACACCCGGTAAAGCAACATCTGATGATTTTCCTATTCAAGTTCCATTCTTTGTCAATGAAGTGCACCGTCAAAAAGATGAAGTTCTTAGTTTCAAGAGAACTGCTTGCAGCTGTCAGAAAAACTCCACCAGGTGCAAGTGCTATTTCCTCCTGAAGCTTAAGCTTTTCATTCTGAAAAATACTGAGAAACTTCTCTTCAATAGCACGTTGTGGTACCACATCATTAGTAGGACAGATGCCAGCCCAAAACTGCCTAAAAGTTGTGCTGCTTGTCAACGGAGAGGAGAAAAGGTTGGACACTAAAGCTTTGATGAGCAATTCAAGAGACCTGTCTTGATCGAACTTCCAGAAGTTCTCAACTGTGGAACCAGGATGTGGAGATGACCTCTGTTGCTGCATCCGGCCTGTTGCAGGCCGCGCTGGACAGATCTTAAGATGCTGCCGCAGATGGGTTGTTCTTCCTGTGCTTGTTCCACCAAAGCACATTTTACAATGTTTACATTCGGCCCATTGAATTTTGTCACCTCTTAACACAGCAGTAAATTCCCCCCACACCTTGGACTTTGATCTTCTTTTTCCACCAGCACTAGAGAAATGACATTATGTACATCAGCTAATGTTCATGAGAATTTCTCGTCACACATTGAACATTAGGAATTTAAAATTATGAGAAAATTAAAATGCATGATTTTAGATCAGTGGACAAACAAGATAAAAAAACAAACTGAGTCACATAACCAGGGTTCATACCAAGACCTAGCCAAAATATGACTACAGAATAATTCCAGCACAACAGATAGCTCATCACCTAATGGAAAGCTGTGATTTTGTCTAGGTATTATTGTCAATGTTATATACCACTAGTATAGAGGTATATAACTATTTAGAAACAATACAAGAAACACATGTGAAATTCTGTTATGTTCCAATTACTTCCCATCAGCTTACGATTCACCACTTCATAAAACATCAAGAATACATAAGAGGAATTGCATTCATAAATCCAAAGAGGAAGAGTGAATAGCTGATTTTTTAACCATAAGAATAATGTCTGTCGATTCTTCATTTGACAATTTATTTGTAGGGAACAACTATGTTTGGTCAGATCTATGAAAGGCTCTATAGAATTTCAGATATGAACTGAGCCAACAACAGCATATGGACTTGAAGAAGGGAAAGGAAAGAAGAAGGCGGATGGAAGGAGCAGGTTGATGCATACTGTCGGTGAGAATTTGCAGTCCCGGTCTGTGCAGTGATCCTTTCAGCTGGATGTGGCACATGCCTGACAAGTAAAAGCACCATTACTAATTACAGCTGAGAGAGTTGAGAAATTAGTAATTTGTGACTACATATAAGTTGCTTAGTCAGATTAAAGCAACTACCTTTCCATCGCACTGTCATCACCGGTGGCTTCTTCGACTCTTGCTTGGTCATCATCATCTTCATCACTATCACTTGAACTAGAAAGTTGCTTATCATCTCCCTCCCCGGACCCAGGCATTGAAGTCTCCGCTTCTGATACCTTGAGCACGGGTAGATCACAATATTGCTGATGACGTGGGTGGTTGTGGCAACCACTAAGAACCGTCTCAAGAACCTGATGGCCATCAGCAGAGCATACCACCAGTTTATTGGCGTCACAGTTTTCCTGGGTGCACTTGTAATACATGGTGGGATATCCACAGCCTGGAACGATGTTCTGCGCGCACGCCTTCCAGACGTAGCCATCTTCAGGTGGGACTAGGCTACTTCCATGCAGCAGGCTAGGCGATTTGTTGTCAGAAGAACTGGTATCTTGTTGTGCAGCTTGTGCGACAGGTGGTGCCGACAGTAAGACTGAAGTGAAGGGACGAGACGCTTGATCGGCCATACCATGCTCGTGCTGAGGGTGATCTGACTCGTTCCCCATTCTGGAGGACAACCAGTTTATTTTCCCCCAAAATTATTGGTTCAACTATTCCCTGGGGATCCTTCCAAATTCTTACTCAACAATCCTACACACACAAAAAAAAAAAAGATATACAGGATTCTTCCAAATTCATATTGACATGGTATGGAGATATCTATCTATGGATCCGAAACTCATAAACACAAGCACAGGACATGATGAAAGAAAACAAAAAATATCTTTCTGTAGAACATGCTGTCAAATCTTTAAGACGAAGTGAAGCCCAGGCATAAAGAAGAAAGCAAATCAATCACCTGTTAAGGGTCGCAAGAAAATCCAAAGTAGCCTCAACCTCGACTGATTGCAGCAAGAACACAAGAACCAGATGCTGATGCGCCGATGCCTCCAATCCACCTAGTCAACGAGCTCAGGTCATCAAAGACTTCGATGCAGGAGTGCAGCGTTGCTTTGGAGGGGTTCGCTGCCTTTTTATAAAGTGGTGGCATATGAGCGGGTGAGTGAGTGCCAATTGTATTGTAACCTATCGACAAACCAACGGGTAGCAGGTAGGAATGGGGGAGTTTCTTCTTCTTCTTTTTTGTTTTTTTTTTGCGACAGGAATGGGGGAGGGTCGACCATCTTGATCTTCGAGCAAAAGGAAACTGGGGATGCAGCTGTGGTGTGGGCCGGCCGGTGCATCTAGGTGTGAGGACTTGGGGGCAGGAGCCGGCGGTCGCGGCGACGAACATTGGAGAACTGGGCGGCGGCGGCGAGGACGACGTCCGCAACGACATCGACGGCAAGGGAACTAATGTTGGATGAATGCGACACGTTGTGATGTTGCAGAGGGTTACCTTGATCCTGAATGACGGAGCAGCTGACGGAGATGAGCGACGTGTACAGCTTCGGCGTGCTGTTGCTGGAGGTGGTCACGGTGAGGAAGCAGCTGGAGCGCGTCCGGTACATTGTCCGGGTGATGAAGGCCGCAAATATTCGGCTCGTACCCGCCAGCATCGTCCGATTGCACCGCCACTGCTTACGTGTTCCACCCGACATCATCATTTGGAACAGGATTAGGCACGCTGGCATCACGTGGTCTTACACTGTACATCGAATTGAGGACCGTTTGGTATGGATTCTGCACCAGCTCCGGGAGCAGTTCGGAGTACTTTCCTACCAAACGGCCAAATAGGAAATAGCTCCTTCCACGGGGCCGCGGAAAAACCGCTGAGAGAAGGCGTCGGCGACGGTCGAAGCCAAAAAAAAAAACGAGCTTTCTTGCGGCTCCCCCGTCTCCTTGCTTGTGGGCCAGCCCCGAAATACCCTCCGCGCGTGGGCGAGGCGTCGTAGCTCCGGGTCGTCGGGGTGGGGGTGGACGGAGGTTGGACGGAGTAGCGAGCCTGGGGCTTCGGGTCGCCGGAGGCCAGAGGGCGCGTGGGCGAGGCGTGGTAGCTCCGTGTCGCCGGGGTAGACAGAGTCCGGACGGAGTAGCGAGGCTGGGGCTCCGGGTCGCCGGAGTCCAGAGGGCAGGGCCGTTCAGGCACTGGCTCGCCGGAGGTCCCAGCCGCCTCATTTGGAGGCGTGGAAGGGGCTCCTGGGCGCGACAGCACCGCTTGCCGGACGCTGGAGCACGGTCCTGCCGAGGCGCTGAGCGTGGGAGCCGTGTGCGGGATGCGGAGACGCCGGAGATAAGAACGGAGAGTCGAATAGATAGGTACGTACTGTACTAGATTAGATAAGGAGAGAGAAGAGAAAAGAAATAGGAAAGGAAAAAAAGAAAAGGAAAAGGAAAAGAAAAAAAAGGTATATTATAGACATTTCGTTCTTTTGGGCATTTATGAGAAGCTGTTTTGTTAAATTGTTTAAAAAAACCGCTTTTAACTCTCTAAATAATTCTGCTCTGTAGATAAAATCATAACTGAAGTTGTTTGCCAAGTGGACGCTTATCGAGGTAGTTGTTGGTTTATTCATTGAGACTTTTCGCTCTGTGCCATTATAAAATATCGCAATCCCCTGTGTGTTTAGCGGTCTTCAGCGCCACTACTTTAATTTTTGGGTCCTCCATGCCACTTCGTCATCGATTCAGGGCTCTCCGTCAATCGCCGTCAAGCTGTTAAGTGTGAAAAAAGCTCTTAAAAAATGCCCTTAAGTTCAAATATGTTATTAATTTTTTGAGCATCTTAACGATTTTCAAATGAAAAAACTCAAAACTAGAAAGTTGTAGATCTGATCGAGATCTATAATTTTCATAAAAAATATTTTTTCATTTAATTAAATGAAAAAAAAATATGATTTGATATGATTAATATATCTACAAAAATCATCATATTTTTTTTTTGAAGTAAATGAAAGATGCTCAAAAAAAATTAATAACATATTTGAACTTAAGGGCATTTTCATCTTTTCACACCTGTAGTTTGAAGGCGTTAGAGCTTGAACTGACGGAAGTGGCATGGAGGATCCAAAAAAGTTGAAGTAGTGGCGCTGAAGACCGCTGAATTTTTCCAGAGGCACATAGAGAATTACGATCTTTTATAATGACACACAAGTAAAAGTCTCTTATTCATTGTTTGGCCGGCGTCTTCACTGTCCTCCTCCCTCTACGAATTGACTGCTCCCCTTCTACAGATTTCTCACCCCTTTTCACACACATCCCGCGTGCTCGATCGAGGCCGCCATCTCGATTCAGTCCCTTCTTCATTCTCCCAGAGACTCCAATCGTTTTCTGCATTCCACCAAGATCTACAGCGTGAATGAATCTCTCACTGAACTCGTCTGGTGCCCCATGTAACCATCTTCGCAATGTCCATCATAACACTAGCTGGATTTGGTCATCATGATGCCAAGTTTCAGAAATCCCGTTCAAATCGACGGTACGTGAATCGGTGTCTTGATTCGCTCTCACTATTTTCAGTTTGTCCGCACTGCTTTGTTCATACCGCGCACACATCTACCAGTGTTTCTCATCCGAACAATCCCCATTTCCCCCCATATCCTACCGATTCATATTTTGCAATTCTTGTCGTTTTTTAACCAATCAAGTCTTTTTCAATCTCAGGAATCGAACATAGGTGCTGCGCATCACAGTCTCACCTTCGATGGGTTAATGGAGCCCCCCTGCCAGGTTCGTGACACCGATCTCAATCGCTCCTCCATTACTGCTAGATGCATATACAGTGCATAATAAATTGTATTACCTATATCGAGCCTGCAGTTGGGTTACGTCATCTCTCTTTACCTAGCTAATCTAGATTATTAACACCTGCAGGACTGCATTAATTCTGATCAATCCCCCGTCGGTATTTACGCTGGCAATACACTAGTTTTATCTACCAATGTAAACACCAGCTCGGTAGCATTGCGATGCTCAGTCAGGCTCATTCATGAAATTATATCAAACTTCGGGCCTAAAAAGAAAGAATTGGATTCCACGGATTGCTCAACTTCCCATCTCTTAAGCAGATCAATCTCCGTTTTTCAGCATGGCTTATGTCCAGAGTGTGGATGAACTGTCACAGTCTACATATTGTGGATGGAACACGAATACATTTTACTAAGAAAGATGTTGCCAGGGTCTTTGGAATACCTGCAGATGACAAGAGCATATTCTCAAAAACAGCCAAGCATTATTCTGGCAATGTAACATCTCAATTAGCAGCAGGTCACATAAATGTGAAGCAATTACGTAGTATAAATGCAGCACAAGCCATTGTTGTCAGGGACCATGATGGGCCAATGAGCTTAATCAACCAGGATGAGTTCAGCATTCGTTGTTGTTGTAATGTCAACCTTACTCGCCCTTGCGCCAAACATGACCGTGTCTGTGCTGACTATATACACATCATCGTGCAACCTGGGCAGATCAATTCCTATGACTCGGCTGAATATGTCATACGACGACTACTTGAAGCTGTTTCAAAGCTGAAAGCAGATTTAGCAAGCAAAGTCAAAGTGCCCTACATATACGGTTGTTCTTTGTTTTTGCAGGTACGCCCGCTACTCAATCTATCGACCTTTTCTTCACAGCCTTTTCTTTTTGACCTCTGCAACCAAATTGTTCACTGCTCTTCCTACTTGTGCTCACAAGAATATCAAATCACCTATTCATACAGGTTCTGTATCTGGATAGCATTGACCTGGGTGCACTTTCGATGGAGCATAACAGCTTCCCGCGTGTGCGATGCTTCACATATGATTGTTTAAGGGTCATGATAGCGGCTGCGGATAGCAGTTTCTCCGCCTCTTGCCCCAACACTGGTCATTCATGCAGGCCAAGGTGCGGTTGTATTCAATGCTCGTTTATTTGTTATAGATATGCCGTCTTATTACTGCTCAATACTTGTTACTGAGGCCTGGTCTAGGTACCAAAAATTTTCACCCCAAACTATCCCATCGAATCTTACGGCACATGTTTAGAGTATTAAATATATACGGAAAAAAAACTAATTACCTAGTTTGGTTGAAAATCGCGAGAAGAATGTTTTAAGACTAATTAGTCCATAATTAGCCATAAGTGCTAATGATGGATTAGTTAGGCTTAATAAATTCGTCTCTCGTGTTTTTAGACGAGCTATGTAATTAATTTTTTTATTAGTATCCAAAAACCCCTTCCGACATCCCGAAACATCCGATGTGACATCCAAAATTTTTATTTCGTGAACTAAACACAGCCTAAATACCAGCAACCTCATATTTTTATTGTTTCAAGCTCTGACCGCCAGGTGGGATTTGTTATCGTTGGGCTACATCGGAACCGTCTAGCAGCCACAGCACAAATCAAACCGTCATCCTAGCGTTGTGGGAGGCTTGTATCCTGATGTCTTGGATTTTTAGGATCCCCCGAGGTCCGCCCTCCGAACTCTTTGTTTGCAGGACTATACCTTATTTTTCCGTGAACAAAAAAATAAAAAACAAACACATATATAACTTATGTCATCATCCCCCTAGACCCCTACTTATATTTATACTAGGTAGCATGCCCGTGCATTGCTATAGGATAGCTAACAATTTGTACTTAAAAC